TATATATATATATATATATATAGATAAATAGATAGATAAGAGGGCAGGCTATACCTTCAGTTACAGCTGCCACTCGCTCGCTCTCAGCCGAGCGATGCATCGTTTTTTTCCATAAACCAAAGAATCCCCTACCGGAGAGCTCAGTTACCGTAACGCTCTAACTAGAGATTTCACTGCACCTATGGTAGGAATTACAGTTATGGCGTTGACTGCAACCATAGACACACACAAAGCATGAACCAAAAATAACCAACCCAAAAAACCCCAGAAAAAAACCCAAAGGAGATGATCCTGACAGTTCTGCGAACGGCTCCGGGGCCTGCCCAGCCCCGCTGGAGGAGGCACGGTTGCAATCCTACGCTCCAGCTTTGAATGCCATCAAACTTATTTATGGCAATGCTACACACACTGCTATTTTTCATTTTTCTTTAACAAATGGAGATTATCATAGTCCAAGCTTAGTTAATGTGTCAAATACAAGTAGGCAGAATTATGAAGGTATATGACAGAGTATAAAAATGAGTATTTTTATGAAAATATCCAAAATGTCACAAACAGTAGTTCAGCACAAGCTTTCCGTGCTCTCTCTGTTTTCTTACATCTACGCTCAAATTTTCATTTAATGAATTTCTTCAAATATTGGCTAAACTACCTGAAACTAAATACTACATTCTTCCTTTGTTTTCCTTACGTGAGTAGCCATACCAAGCCAGATTTTTGATTGGAATAACTCAAGTCAGCATCACAAGTCAGTTTTTCATGTGGCTAGTACGCATAATTAGACTGGGAATTAACAAGTCCCCGTTGCATGTTAAGGGCTTACTTGCTTGCCATTTTTCTGTGCAAAACTAAGTTTTGTATTTACCGTTGCTACGTTACCGCTGTAGGCCTTGTCTTGGCATCACAATTTTTGTGTAAATAACCCGTTTTCTGGGGAGCCGCTGCCTGCGAGCCGAAAGCAGTGCTATCCGACAGCAGCGCTCCGTGCAAAAGTGAAGCTTGGCTGCGCTTTCCAGCTTCAACCTGTATGCTTCTTCTTGTCTGCGTTACGTCTACGAAGAGCCACAATTACGTTTTTGAGAATGGGTGTGCCTGGCTGCAAAAGGAATATAAGAATAATCTGCAAGCATCGAGTACGGTTTCCACTTTCGCAGCTCTCCGTGAAACGCCTGGACAGACCTAACACATTCCACCCCCCTTAAGCCACAACCCGCTGCCTGCTCCTCAAAAGCCTCCCGACTTCGCAGATGCTCATAACCCGGCCGTGCTAATGCGAGACGGGAACGGGCGCTATTTTAAAAGTCTAATTACTCGTTAAGAGGAACAGTCCCTGAAGCGAACACCCCATTTCACCTAAGCGTGCTAAACTAATCACACAGGATCCCGTCCTGCCCCTTTTCCAAGCCGGATCCCGCTTCAGTCAGACCGGATCTCATACCCACCTTTTTTTTCTTTTAAAACAGTTTTTCTGAATGATAATTTATACAGACATAAGGTGTATCTCTTCCTTTTGTTCATCTTCCTGGTAGCGGCTAACCCCACCGATTTCAGTGGATTTAAACCGCGCCGAGGGGATTTGTGCCCATAATCACAACACAATTTCTCCGCAAAATTTGGGAGCTGAAGGGCTGGATGCCAACCGGTCGTCACCAGCCCGGGGTTCCTCGAGAGCAACGCCTCCGCAGATCCAGCGCGAGAGCGAGGATCGGACCTCCAGCACGGCTCGCAACCGAGGAGGAGTTAATTAAAACCAGGCACTGTCCGACGGCTCAGATGGCCCGAGGGCTGCGGGCGACAAGAAGAGTGTTCCCCACAGGCCCAAGAGAGAAAGGAAGGATTACAACGGAGAGCGGGCGACTGGTTTCATAGCCAAGGGCCAAACCCGAACGAAAAATCCCTTCCGTGCCTCTTAGCCTTGTTTTAAGTTTTGCTTCGTTTGCAGGTATGATTTGGCATCACCTGCGTGGAAGCCGAATACGTTTCACGTGCTTTTGAGTAATTAATTTGCCCACGCTTTTGAGATACTCACCCTTGCTTTGCTTCACCGCTACAGTAAGCGGTACAAATATCACCAGGCGCTGTCTGACGCTTAATACCTATGAGTTAAAATTCCTAGAGCAGAGTTACCTTACAAAGCATGTTGTAAACGACAGCAGACAAATTTTTATCAATATTTACATTTTTTTCCTTTTATCAGAAAGCGAGATTTAGAATCAACAGGGGCAGATTTGGTCCATTTAAACAAGCACGAATGCAGAACCCAGCTTGCTTTCCCTTCTGACTCCCCCCCCAGATTTCATCAATAAAAAGAGCTTGAAATTTTCCACGTGAATGGAGAAAGAGGAGCAGAAGCAGGTATTGCGTTTTCAAGTGCATCTTCGCTGCGCGCCCTCCGGTCAATCCCGCATTTTCTCTCCCAGCAGCAAGCAGGTGTTTAGGGCACATGCTTTTACAGGCTCACTTGGAGAAAAGACTGCGGTGGATTTTCAAGAAAGAAGCACGCGGTGGAAATTTTTTTTTCCACAAAAGCACATTTATGGAGCAATACAGGAAAGCATAGTCTGAAATCTTGGAATGCTATTAATTTTACTACTTTTTCTTATAAATTAACCATGTTCAAAGTTTCCATCAACTACAGGAGGCAGTTTGAAATCTGCGCTTCTGTGAAGTTTATCGACAGCTGTCCTCATCACTATTAATTTGTGAAACCGGGAACGCGACAGAACTACCAAGAGCGAAAAGAAGCCTTTGTGGCACGGCGGCTGGAAATAAACCCGCCTGTTCCCAGCACCATTTCAACCCCGACCGAGGCTCGGGGGAAGCGGATTAACTTCCCAGCTTTCCTATAGACTCGCTTCTCCCATGTTTAAAACCGCAGTAAATCCCCCTCCCCGGAGGGGGCACAGGGAAACCTGCCGAAGGTCTGTCCAGCGCCTTGCGCGCACCCACCCTGCGGCCTAATATCGATTATCGTCTTTAAACGACTCGCGCCCATCAACGCGTTTCAGCCCTGCAGCTCTTCTCCTCCTCCTCGATCCAGAAGTAACGGTGCAGAGCAAACCGAGGGAAAACCTCGCCACTGAACTGAACTGATGCAGGAGCAAGTCCTGCCTGGGTTCGTAATAAAAGGTAACTGGGAGCAAGGCCAAATCGAGCCTGGCCCAGGCAGCCCACCTAGGAGGGGTCCCAGAGGACCGCAAACGGTGCGTGCTTTGCTGGACAACCCACGGACAAAGCAAAACCTGGGAAAAAGCGAGTTTTTTTCCAATTGCAAAAAGACACAGACAATAATAAGGGAATTACGAACAACGTAAAGCCTTGAGAAAATAACCTACAAGGGCAGGTTAAACTAAGGAATCGCTTACTGAGCCAAAATCAACAGCGTTTAAGGGGGGAACGTGATTCCGTATAAACACGCACGGGGTACGAGCGGCAGGAGAGGAAAGAACCATTCATTCCGAGAGCACAACAGGGAACTGTGGAGCGACCATTAACAGTGGAGACATTTAACTTCAACGTTAGCCTAAACGTTACGGGTGGGATTTTCAAAAGTATTTTAGGAAGTTGAATGCCC